ATTGTCGCTAGTGTCTGTCAGTTGTTTTAAGCACATAATCAATGTTAGGCGCTTATCGACAGACACGATCGCCAATCGAATCGGCATTCAGGCGGTCAGCCCGCTATCGATGCACACGCCGAGTGGCAAACAACTGAATTGCGCAAAAGCGAAAAGTGCACAGTAGCAGTAGATGATGCTGCCACCATTGCCCTCCGTCCGTCATCCCGCCAACCGCACAAAGTACAAAGACAATAGGCGATCGCAATGCCAAAAGCGCATGCTATTCAGCCAGCCACCCATCGCATTGCGAAGCGTACACGCTAGACTGCCGACTTTGTTGTTGCCAGCCGCATGCTGACTTGTTATCTGTGCATCGCTGTGTGCAGCTACTGCAGCGATCTACCGACGCTGATCGACCGATCGACCGGCGAAATTTATAAAAATCGAAAACCGGACCTAAAGGAATGTGTGCATCGCTGCTAACCAGCCATATGTTGTTGTTGAGACGCAGCGCACTTAAGCGCATTGTTGTAGGGGTGATTGAGTCAGAAGTAGTGGCAATGTGCGTAGCTGCGTAGTATTTGTCAAGACACGCCGATTCCCATTAGTCGTATGAAAATTTCGATTTGGTTTGCCGCGAAGGCGAATTTGTTGGCGAAAAATGGCTCACACGGCATAAATCACCGTAATATGGGTGCGTGATATGTTTGTATATCTGTGTATGTATGTATGTATGTATGTGGCATCGGTGATGACCGATATCGATGATACTAACGAGAATGAGCAGAAGGCGGTGTCTGCCAGCGAACAGCGAGTACAATGAGGTGAAAAGGTAGTAACTCCACCAAATTAGCGACCGGGGAGGCAGAAACTGTGCCGCTGCAACGGCCTATTGTTTGTTCGAGCTACGCAGATAACCTCACTGATGGGAACGACGATTGCATATCGTTTGCCTGTACATCTCACGCGCTTCCCACCACAACCTACCGTGTGTGCTCGCCAGCATTATTGCGCTCTGCGCTTGTGACACTTTTCAAATGAACTTAACACATTTTTAATGCAGACAGCAACAACTTAACCGCAACAACAACGCGTTGGAGACAAAATGCTGTGATCATTGTCGATCAGCAAAACAAATCATTAAACGAATTTGGTGTTTTAACGAAAAAAACAAACCGCCCGCTTGACACACACTTCACACTCAGGCTCTCAGCGTGTTGCGCAAATGAGCGCGAGCACGAAAATCGAATGTGTGAGCAGTAATCAGTTGTGGCCTGCAGCGTTCACCGCCAATAAATTAAAAACAAAGGGCAAACATGTTCCCGGTGACATTTTGTACGTACGCCCGTTGGAGCTACGTCCGTCCGCCGCAGACCAAATGCGTGTACAATTTTTTTCGATTGGGGGTGCCCGCAACAACAAAGACCGACGCAGTGGTAGTCAAAGTTGGTCCGTTTGTCCACAGCAAAGTAGTTCCAGCGTCTGTCCATATTTCTCAAAGCGATCCGTTTCCAAAAAAATAAAAAATAAAAAATCGCATGCAAAGCTTGGAATCGCGTCCACTTCACATATATGTACATATGTAGCTTCTGAAGTGCTTTTGCGGCTTCAACTCTTTTGTTTTGTTTTTGTTATATTTGTTTCGTTTTCCTTTGGTTAGGTTGTTGCACGGTTTTGCTACATAAAAGGGCAATTTCGTTTTAGTGCCGCGGCCTTGTATAATTGGACCCGAAGACAGCGGAATTCCTTTGAGTAAAAGCGACTTGAGCCGCCTTGCCGGGTTTCTTTTATTTTTGCGCATTTTTTTATTTAATAAAATTTGTTGCTGCTCACTGTGTCGCACATTGTCTTTGTTTTAGTTTGTTGTCATTTCATTTATTTATATTTATTTTTTTTTTATTTTTTACGCGAATAAATTTTTGCTGCGAAACTTTGTATATGAGTGAGGTTTAGAACAAGAGAATAAGTACTTATGTTTCTGTATTTTGTGTCTACAGAGTGCATTATGGTATAATCTTCCACCGAATATTCAATTTCGATTGCGAAATGAGATCTTAAGGCGTTGTCTTACAAATTAAAGTTGGAAAATCGGAGAGTTAAGCAGTCAAAATGGCTATCAAGCGTGGGTTCGAAAAAAGATCTGGACAAAAAATAATAAAAAAAAATTTAAATCTACCAAGCTGTCGTGGAAAGTAACAAAATTTTTGATAAAAGACTAAAGCCAAATAAATGAGGACTTCTAATAAACCCAGTATTTTCCAAAAGCTTCGCAAAACTAATTCTGATTCTGTTTTTTTAACAAATCGATTTGCATACATTTTATTCGAACCTCAATTATCTCAAAGAGAAAAAAATTACGATTCGAGACTTTTCTTCGAAAACTCATAATTTACTCCATTCTTCATGTCTTTACCACGATCTCACGTTTTTTTCTCCCAAATAGAAAAAAAATACATTTAATTCAAGTTTCGAGATTTTTTCTTCGAAAATCCACTTGTTGTCTTTGTCACGATCCAACGTCTTTTTTAGAGATTTGCAAAATATTTTTATGAAATAAAATTTCTTTCAAATTTTTAAATTTATTCTTTTTAACAAAATATTTTTAATTAGAAAAGATTTCTTTGCAATTTCCAAAATCCGTGCTGAGTTTCGGTTTCGATCACAGCACCAAACCCTCAAATTCGTCACTAAAAATTTATTTTACTACTGTATTGTTCTTCCTTTATTTTCTCAGATGTCTTGGAGCAGCGTGAGAACTTTAGGATTTTATAAGAAATGTCAATTTTGCAGTGGCAGATTGCATACCTTTGCACACAAACATACAAACATGTGCAAATTGGTCAGTCTGGCCGTGAAATGCGACTTTTTATATTCCTACGGTTGTATATACTTACGTATACATATGAACATATGTATGTGCGTAAACAAAAAAATATCTATAGGTGCGTGGTTTAATGCGTCGAAAAGTGATGAGATGATTGGACAACCAATTTCATGAATCATGACTCACTTTCAATCATTTAAACAGTATGATTGTATAGTAAACACAATTTATTGTATGTGTGTATATATGTAAATTGAGCATATATAAATACGTATAGTAAATGCATTTTATTAAGTACTATTAGTATCTTTTATTATTAAAATGATTGGAACGCATGGGTGCTTTTTATGAACAGTGGAAATATGTGGAACGATGTTTGTAAACTTTTTGTATAAAATCACTATTCTAAGAGCACATTTTCATTCTTTGTTCTAAAGGTTTGTTTTATAATTTTTAGTTTAATTAATATTTTTGTCATAAAGTTTTCTTTTGTGTTAGATTTAGTAATAATACCTATTTTGAAGTATTTTGAGAAATTTTATTTTTTTATTAAAAAATTAATGATGTAATTAGAGTGAGATTTTTACGTTCATAAAGCGGTAATAGTGACATCCGAGCGAAAAATCTGTTTAGGTATTTTGTAAAAATCTACAAAAACTTAAAAAAAAGTTCAATTCGTATGGCATTTTTAATTACGCTATAGAGCCGATCTACAAAGTAACCATGTCTGCTCTTAAAAGTTATAGATGGTCTTTTTTTTGTTTCGTTTTCATCGGCAAATTTCCAATATTGCTGAGTTGTATTCCAAATGCAAATTAGAACGGTTTTACGGCAGTTTCAGATTTTCACGAAATAAAAAAGCTGAAAACTATGGAAAGTTGAGGATAGGCTGAATAAGTTTAAGGCCTGACATTCTTGCTGTCATTCATGCTCAATTTAGACAAATTTAAAAACAATATGGGAGTATATTCAGAAGACCAATGAATTCACTAGAATATTTTGAGCTTCGAACAAGCTCAAGCTAATCAATCTAATGAAAATATGACGTAAGACTATATTAGGGGCTTATTGAGAGAAATTACTTATGAACATATAAGTAAAAATACAAGCGAAAATATTTATCTTTATTTCATTTTTTTTTAAGTTCATTATTTGCAAACACTTTTTAGATAAAAACGTTTGCAAAAAATCGACAAATTTTTTATTGTAAAAGCAAAAATATTAACAAATTTAAAAGTACGAAAATAGTGTTAATTGACAAAGATCGATGCAGAGTTTGGAAGTAATGAGGGATTCCGACTTTGAAAATATGAGTGGTGTGGAAACCGCTTTAACTTGCTTGAACACTAAAAAGTCTTATAAAAAAACGTCCAGAAAGTATAGATTTCAACAAACATAAACCCCCACCGACTAGAAAAAATTTATATTTTAGATTTTATTATTTATATTTAAATTAGAGATTTGTTCCGCTTTTAGTCAACCTAAGGTTTCGTAATAAAAATTTTAAATAAAAAATATAATATTTTTGGTACATAAGTAGATTAGTTTACTCCAACTTCCTTAATAAAATTAGTTTTGCGAAAGATAAAAGTAAAAATCACATTAATTTTTCGCACAAATTTCGAAGTTGCATATCTACATAAATGAAAAAGATGGGAATACAAAAGTTGTAGACCATTCTTATATACAACTTTGCCACATAACTCGCAGTTTTACCGGCAATCGAGTTAAGTCGTAGCGATAAACCGTAGGTCGCAGTGCATAATATCAATCTTTGCTATCTATTTCAGGCGTTTTTAACCTATAAAAATTCAAACAAATTCGTGACCTCAGATTCTCCTTCAAATAGTTTTATATTAAGTTTTGGTATTTTAAATTTTGTTTCCAATGGGTTTCAAGCTGCCATTATTTTTCTCTCTCTTTTACCTTTTTCAAAGGCTTTTGCACTGGTTTATGACGGAATATTCGAATTGAAGCTACCGGAAAATAGCTGATATTTAAACCTATTCATCTTTGCCCACCAAAACAAAAAATAATGAAGTTTTAAATCAATTTTCTTCAAGAGCTTAGTAAATATTTAATTATTATTATTTAATGAATGAAATATATGTATAGGGATTACTCATATTCCACACCACACAAATTAAAAATATTAAATTTTTTATTTCAGAAGAGAAAAAATTATATATCTCACCCTTTCATATTGATAAAATGAACGACTTGGTCCGGCACGGCCATACAAATATGGATAATAAGCACCGTACATTACTTCGGGGCAGGACACTGCCATCGTCCAAGTGATCCAAGGACTGAAATTTTTTGTAAAATCACAGTTGCTGAAGGTCTGCTACTTGGATTTGGTTTGTGGTTGGATTTCTAACGTAGTTCCTGCTGTATTTTAATCAGGCAAATTGCACAATTATTTATATTTATTGTTAAACTAGCTTTCAAGTAACTGGATTTTTATTATTATGTTTTCTATTTCTTATGCGCATGTGATAAATAGCGGTTTCTTGAAGCACAACACTTTTTCACACACAGCATGCGAATGCTCTTCAATATAACTTCAATTAAGTATGCAATGGCAATAACAAAAAAAAAAAGAAAACACAACAATGCTTGAATTTTTATTTTTCACTAATATGAATTACAGCTTAGCGCTTGTGTTGTTGTTGTGTGCAACGCCTTAAACGTGCGTGTGGTATTATTAATATCTCTTGTTTTTTTGCTTTCTTAGTATTGTTGTTTTTATTAGTAACACTGCACGGTTTTGCCGCAGTTGTTGTTGCTGTTTTGGCTGGCTTGGTATTCACTTGTTTGGTTCCGCTGCAATGCCGTATTCCAGGAATGAAATCTTCGTGCCAATAGTTTTATTGCATTTTACATACCGCGTTTGAAAATAACAAAAACAACGGCTAAAACGAGTTACACAAACATCAACACGTCCACACAATTCGCGTACACAATGCCAAAAGCACAGGTGTTGTGTATTTGTTTTTATATTTGTATTGGTAGGCAATGTTACACGCACAACCGATTGAGCGAACGAACGGGCCGAGCACACGATTTTCTATTATTTATTCCTCTTTGTTTACAATATATTTTTTACTCGATTTTTGTTAGCAACAACAATTTAGTTGTTGCACTTTATCAAAGCGGCTGGCTGGCACAATTGAGGGAGCGGAACGGCGGTTGCGAATAATGTTTTAATTGCTCACCTCATGCACGTTTCACTCGCTGGTATTTCTCTCTCATCGCGCGCACTGCTACTCCACGGCGCACACATATACACACACGCACACAAATAACCGTGCGACTACTATTCAGCGAAGAATAGTTAGGTATGTATCACCTCTCCCCTGCACACATACGCTACCGTGGGCCGGTCAGCGTTCACCACTGCAGCAAAGCTTCCCCTCAACAGCACTTGCTAAGCCGTTGTGCTGGTCTCGTCATCACGATCTCGTTCCACGTCATCATCGTCAACAGCATCGACGAAAAATCGGCCTGGCCACCATCAATAGCACTGCAATTAAGAAGAAGAAGAGGAGTCATTATCAGAAAAGTAGTGCTATGAATATTAAAAATGGTGGAAATACTCGTTTCGTGCGCAACTCAATGGGGTGTAGTGTTCGCAAAAAAACTATAATTAGAAATGAAATAAGGTTATGTGGCGGCAAAAACAGACGACGAGAAAGGATGGCTTAAAGCAATCATAATTACGCGCGGATTAACATTTCTGCATAGGCTAAGAGTGATTATTTACCACAGACCCGCAAAAAGACTAAAATGGTAAGAAACCAAGCCAACTGAAAACTGTTTTTGCAGAGAGATTATTAAGAGAATTGAGTACATGCGAATGTAAATTAGAATGGGCTCAAAGTAACGAATGGGAGCTTTGGTCATAAACGTATCGGAATACGAGTATCATGTGTCGATGGTTCAGAAAACCCAAATGTTTAAGAAGTTGTGTCCACTTGAATAAAAAAAGTGTGTTTTTGCATTTTTTTCGACTATTTATTTAATAAAATAATATTAATATTATCATATTAACATAATTTTATGTATTTTAATAATAGGTGATTTCTATCAAAAACTTTTAGACTACTTTGATCCTAAAGTCGATCTCCAGGATGACCTTCGAAAAATTGTGGCTGGCAGCGAGAAAGATTTTTCTGTTTAAAATTTTTCATATCTAAAATTTAAACAAAAATATTATTACTATACAGCTACAAAGTAATCCAAAGGCTAGGTAAATTTTTTTATTGTGATATTATTAAAATAGACGAGAGCAGCTACATAGCGATCGAAGCACCAGACAAATTTTTGAACCGTGACAAATAGCGGCTTCCTACAAAAATACCGGTTTTTTTAAATACCTAACTAATAAATTTAAGAAGGTCCTATGAAAAGTTTAAGTTGTTCGGTTCACCCGTTTCGAAGAAATTTTCGCACCGACTCTGAAAACATTGTTTCGTGATAAGAGTGCTTGAAGTTTTGAGAGCCAATTACAGTAAGTTAAAAAATGTTATAATGTCGGAAGAAATATCTTAAAAAAATCATTTTTACATTAATTAATAAGTGAATATAACCTTTTAAAACATCTAAAGTTTCCGCGACTATTTCAAAATAGGAAATTGCGCCGAAATGTTTGGTTATATGTACATATGTATGTATGTATATGGTAGCTAGTAATAATGGAGAGAGAGTCAATACAAATCGAGTGATAGAGAAATTTTGAGCCCTCTTACACAAGTTTTTATAAGAAGTAACAAAAGAGCTTAAAAGCGAATTGAGAATCCCTTTTAAGACGAGGATGATTTTCAGCTGTAAAATAACATTTTACTTTATTTAAAAGCAACATAAAGTAATGTATTCACTGCAATATATATTAGACACTTTCGACACCTATTTGCATTCAAAACATAGAAGTTCAGAAACTTAGTTCAATAAAATTGAATATTTTTACAAACTCATTATGAAAGAATAAGATTAGATTTTGCCTAGAACGGAATGAGAATTCCCAGTCTGCTGAGAAGTTACCATGTTCAATGCAGAGTCGTTGCGATCCGATCCGCCGATTTCTTCAGATAAAATTTTATCCAAAGTAATTAAAATTAATTAGAAGTATTCAATTTTCGAAATATATTTTCCTATATAGTACTACAATAGGAGCTTTTAAGTTTATAATTTTTTAGGACATGAAAATATCTGACCCACCGAGTTGGCTCCGAAGGCTATTTTGTCTAAGGTAATGTATACAAGAAAGTGGTTTTGATGCCGCTACTACACTCACTCCGCGAAATTTTCTGTACAAATGTTATCATTTTTAACAATTGTGAAAGAAATAATTTTGAAAACGAAATAAGTGAAGTGATCTTTTGCATAAACGATGTCGAGTAGAGGTTGTAAAAGAGAAATGGATTTATGGATATGACGTCGAAACTGTCCAATAATCTAGCGAATTGCTCTCCAAAATTGAGCCGAAACCAAAACAAATAAAATATGCTGCAGACTCTGAAGGACATCCGAGCCGACGTTATAACAAGTGTAAAGAAAATAGGATTAAACGTTGGCATCAACGCTTGTATTGGCTCAAGAGCCTCTTTTAAAGGTGATATTAAGAATTTATATAAAAATATATGAAATGTGAAAATGTGGGTTTTAGTCAGTCCGGATCAAATTTGATCAGCTGGTAAATTACTCAGTTATATTAAATTTTTGTGCAATAAAAATAAGTAGTCAAATCATAGCCGCTCAAGATGACTTGATAACAAAATACGATTTTTTTATAGATTTTTTTTAATTCGATTACAGCAACTAAAGAACTGGTAAACCGGTAAAAGATTGTTTCAATAATCTGAGAATAAGCTATGGAAAAAGGACAATAGTTAGACCTCAAAGTCTAGCTGAATTTTGAAACCATTGTATTTCTACTCAAATAACCAAATAACATAAATGATGCGACGCGGAATTTAAGGTGGACCCTTCATAACGTTTGAGTTTTTCAAGCTCTCTTTAGATCAGCCATTCTAATACAATTTATATCAAGAGAAAAAATATACATTTAAGTATATATGTATAAAAAAAGCAAGTTCTCTCGCATATATTACGTATATTTTACGGATCGGGTGTAATTTTTACCTCTGCCGTTGAATACCTACTAATCCTAGCGACAGTAAAAATGTCATATAACGACTTCGGGAACACATTAATTATAGTTTAATTATATTATAGCATAGGTCCCCGAGCCGTCCCCAAATAGACCAGGTTTTCTAACAAATTATTTTATTAGTAAGCCACAAACATCCGATTTAACGATTTATAGCATTCATACGATCGAGGCCTTTCTCTACAAACTCCACATATGTACATACTTGCAAATTCATATATCTGCTTATAATTTATAAAGTTATATATCGTCACTTAAAATGCAAATTGAGTTTTTTATTGCCTACGATTCACTACATCATATTACATAAGTATGTACTATATGTAACTATGTATCATAAACTTTTATGCTTCCTCTGTACAATGTTTCCAAATATAACCATTTTATAACCAAAATATACATTTTGTCTCAATATAAGTGGTTTCTAATTCATCGTTCCTGCTTCACTTTTAAATTTATGAAAACTGATCTTACTTCATTTTGCATTTTAGGTGACGATATATGCATATATATTATTACATATATATTGTATATAAGGCTTTATGACGCTTTATACCTGCAGTCTTTTTGTGTTGTTTTGTGCAGATAATCCGCCTTGAGAGTGTATGAATTTCGAAAATATATTAGCTTTCTAAATCACTTTGTTTATTTGTAGTTTACTTTTGTCGTTATTTTCCATATTTCAATGCATTAATTTTCAGTAAAATATTTTGCGCTCAAGAAAAACAAACACACAACACTTTGCAATATTTTTCTACATAAATATGCAGCAACAATTTTTACACGGTTGAAAGAGTCGTCAAATATTCACGTGAATTCTCGAAAAACATATTTCAGATACTTTTTGCAAACATACAAACAACAACTATCTCAAAAGCGACAAGAATTTATTTTTTTATTGAGTCTTCACTGACAAATTACATTCAAGAAATCGCCTAATGTCAAATTCCAAAATACTTTAAATATTTCGGTCGCTACACACATGAAAACTGATTAGGACGCCGACAAACGCGCGCGTGCTAGAAATATGCAAAGAAGCTCGTTACTTAGCAGATAGATTTGTTCGTAGCGTAGACACTTTCGCTTTCCGGCGTGCAATGGAAGGTATTCGATCGCGCACTCGCTGCACATGAATCGAGTAACGCTTGGAATTCACAAAAATTCAGCTAATTGTCGCGCTTCACATTTAATTGCGCAATGTTGTCGCTATTGACGATTGAATTGCAGCTGTAACGAATTTGAATGACAACGCGGATGCGACACTGGGCCGCGGTTAAATGACGACTCGCCAACTAACGTCAATGGGGGTACACACACGTTTCCCTTGCCCACTATTCAGATGCTGCTGCTGCCACCGTTTTCAGCGTGCACAACGTTTTTAGATTTCGAATCAGCGCGAGCTACACATTCAACATGCGCTGAGATACAACCAACACTGCCAGTGCCCAGCTGTTGACATTACCGCTAGACGCAATGCGCGGGCAGCGCAAAGACAAGTTGAGGCTTCGGAGTTGTGGCAGGAAAGAGCCAACTGTACTATTTGAGAAAGTACTCGATTTGTGCGCGCTGATTGGTGGGAAACCCGTTTTCGCTCACAACGTATGTGAGCAGTTGGCTGTGTTTGTGTAGAATAAGCCACGCCTGACGCTCTACTAATTCTTATTAATTGTGTAATATGGTGTAGGAATGCAGTTCTGGCGTTCATTTTGACTAAAGTTGGCTGCCACGTTCGCTGTAGGAGCATGCGGGAGAGCAAGAGCATGCCGTGTGGCTGCCCGACAAAGAAGTAGAGTGTAATGTATTGCTTGCGCGAATAGAGTGTGTTGAGAGGGTAGTTTGATTTTTGGTTTTTTATTATTGTGTTGCAAAGAAAATGGCGTCGCTCAATTGGAAGTATATGCAAGGCATGGGAAAGAACTGATGTATCCTTATTGTTTGTGTAGGCAGGCGCTGTTGTTTTTGTTCGTTGGCAACATAATGGTTCAGCAGAAAATCTTGTAAAGGTCACGAAGCTCAGGTGAACTGATGAGTATTTCGATTTGTTGCTAAAAAAGAGGAGGTACATTGATACGTGTGACTTTTGAAAGAACTTACTTATATGTATAAAGCAATTCTTTATAAAGAACAGGAATTTTTAAATTAAATTTTTTTATTGTGCTTGATTAGATGTAGAAAATTCGAGATACGATTTTGTGATCTCCAGTTTACCCGTATATGGAAAAAAGCTTTCACCAATTTAAAAAAAGTACAAAGAATTTTTTTTTGTATGGGGTATTTTATAATGGATTGCAATAATTTTAATTAAGTGTAAACCAGCGAGCCGAAGGTCCTGGCAGCCAGTACTCCTTTTTTGTGTAAAAAATAATAATTGTATGAAAATAATTGTATTATTTTTTTCACATTTATAAATAAATAAATAATTAAGTGTAGACAGTTGCAAGAAGTAGATTGATTTACAGGGAGCTAAAAAAAAGACAAAATCGTGTTAGCGAGAATATTTTACGGTTCATTCTGAACAACTTTGCCCAAGAGACTATGGGTCTAAACCCGTTTTCGAGATAGCGATATTTAAGGCGAGTTGTTTTTAAATATTATTATATTCATTCGTCAGTTCTTGATTTGTCTCCTCTCCTCTCGGTCAGTGGATAAAATGTTTACACTGTTGAAAACATATTTATAGAAAAAGTTTAGAAGCAAGCTTTTATAAAATGTTGCAAGCATTTTTATTCCATCTTTATCAAAGAGTTGACGTACGGAATGGGAAATCGAGATGAAAAGGACGTGGGCTGGATAAGTCGCTTGATGGGCAACCAGCCCACTAAAAGGTCATTCACCTCAGCAGTATGCTAGAGGTAACCAAGATAGATCGCCAAGGAGAAGCAGAATGGCATAAAGTGTGTTTAGGGCGATACTAAGGAATTTTTGCCAATTATAATATCATCAAACTAAATGTAGTGCAGATCTTCGTTAAAACCAACCTAAGTCACTCATTATATGGAAACATCGAGTTAAGGTTGTAAGTTTTGTGATTAGTTGCTGTTGTTGTAGCGGGAGGAAACAGCGCCAAGGTAATTTGGATGAATATTGCAGAGTTGGCAATCTTTGGCTGGATAAAAATCCCTGTCCGTTATGGTCCGTATAATGGTTGTCGTGGAAACGAGCTTGGTTTCGTATTATTCGTGAAGTGGTCAGTTACAGTTATAAAAACCATTTACATGCTATAATACTCTACAAAAGACTCCGTTTAGGAACTTGAATTTTGTTGATGTAGTGGGAGAAAGTATTCCTGAACTTCTTTCGAGGCATGGTGCGAGTTGACAGTCCGTGGTCGGATAAGAATCAGGGACCGTTCCGCTTAGTTAGACCCGACTGTCGTGGGAAAAGCAACCATCAAGATTAAAACGTTTTCCATACAAGAACTATACTTTGACCATTTACTTTGTAGCTTTGTGCTATAGTCCAATATCAGCGATTACGGCAAAGCTCTTGGGAAAAGTGGACAGGTGTACACTTATTTTGCAATCCGCAAAAATTATTTTAATTTAATTTATTGATACCCTTGTTTAAAGAAAACAACCACAGTTTGTTTGTGAAGATGTCGTCTTTATTTCAGTCTTAACACCTGTATTAATTGAAATGTGGACAACTTTTACACTAGAGCAGTTGTTGGACAACTGCTGGAATAACTACATAATTAAGTAAATAGTTGGATTAAAAAATAAAAATAAAATAAAAAAAAAATGAACAACCTTTTCAAATAATCAAGCATAGCAGTGGGATGTTACTAAGGAAACTGAGCAAACATAAAATGTATTTGAAACCCATTAGCAAAATCCACATTGATCATTTTCTCTTTAAATTTTTCTTGTGCATAAACATTTTAAGGCGTTAAGCGTTTGGGATCACGTGGGAACATCGACGTTTTACGTATATTATCAAGTCCTAGATAGAGCATGACCACACGTTCCATGCCAATACCACCACCAGCATGCGGTGGACAACCGAAACGGAACGATTCAATATATGCCGCAATCTTTGAGGTATCTATAATGGAAATAACGACAAAGAAAACAGTTAGTAAAGGAAATACTGAGTGCGCATCGCACAAAATGTACTCACCGATCGCATGATGTTTTGCGCGTTCAATAAGAAAATCGGGATCGTGTATACGCTGAGCACCAGAAAGTATCTCCTCGCCACGCATGAACATATCATAAGAGTTGGAATACATTGGGTTATTGGGATCGGGCATGGTGTAGAAAGGGCGAATAGCCAGTGGAAATTTGTCCAATACATAAAAATCGGTGTCATATTTTGCCTTGACAAGCCGGCCTAACAGCTTTTCGTTGGGTGTAGACAAATCCTCCTCATCACCGGTTTCAACACCAGCTTCGCGCAACATTTGTACACCTTCAGCGAATTCCAATATCAATGGCGGCTCCAAGAACTTGAATGGCTCCACTTTAAATTGCTGATTCACCGCCGCAATTTCCGCGCTATAAGTATCACGCAAACCCTTAAAAATTCCAGTGAACGTATCGGCGATGGTGTGCAAGACTTCGTGGTAGTGATATTTGAATGCCATCTCCAAATCGAGACCCACGAATTCGGTCAAGTGGCGATGAGTATTTGAGTCTTCCGCACGAAAAACAGCGCCGACAGTGTAAACTTTATCGAAATCAGCAGCAATAGCCATTTGCTTATACAATTGCGGAGATTGTGCCAAATAAGCGGAGTCTAGAATTGAAAAAATAACGTGTTAACTATGGAAAATAAAACGCAGTTAACGGTTGTTTACCTTTGAAGTAGCTAACAGTAAATACGTTTGCGCCACCTTCACTAGCGGCGGATATAATTTTTGGTGTGTGTATCTCTGTAAAACCTTTTGTAGTTAGTATGTCACGGAACAGACGACAAACGCCGGCTTCCAAACGGAAAATAGCTTGATTGGCCGGTGTGCGCAAATCTAAGACACGGTTGTCCAGACGTGTATCCTGATTTACGCGAATATTCAAACTGTCGGCATCCTATAAGATTAGATTTATTAGTGTCCGCATATAAAATTGAAAATTTAATTAAACATACATCTGGGTTTTCGGCACGGGATGCATCTTCAATTTGCAGCGGCAATTGCGGTTTGGCTTGTGACACCACGAATAGTTGTTCAATACACAATTCAACAGTTTGTTCAGTACAAGACTCGATCTTGTTGGGCACCGAAACAACTTTAGCTTGTACATCGATAATACTTTCTCTGCTTACGCTATACGGAATATAAAAATATTTATAAAATTTATATTTCTATATATTTAGTGAAGCAGTAACTTACTTGCCGCTAAACTTCACCATTTGTTTGGAAATACGTTCTCCTACAGCCAAAATACATTGCACGGTGCTGCTCTGCTGACGCAGCACTAAGAAGCATTGCTTGCCCTTCGAACGTGATGTATGTACACGTCCGCGCACCCACACTAATTGGTCCCGACAGGTTGGCTGGCTCAATTCGCTCACTGACACAAATTTACGATCTTCAAACTTCTCCTTCGATTGAATAAGACCGGCAGATCCATAACGACCTGCTGATACGTCTACGCTATCGCCACCTTCTTCAGCATTGTTCGCCGAGTTGGCTACTTTAATTTCAGCTTTCTATAAAAACAATAATAAGAAGTTAGATTTAAACAATAAGTTTTGATCTACTTATTATAAATTATACCTTAGCAGCTTTCAATGCTTCTTTGGCTTGCTTCTTTGCTGCCTTCTTTGAAGTCGTCTCACCTTCAGTCGCACTAGCACCAGTTGTTACATTTTCCTTATCAGCTACCATACTGAATGCTTTCTTTCGTCTAAAAATGGATAAACACAAAAATTAACACGACCTTATAAAAAAAAAGTTCATGAAAACAAAAAAGCAACAAGTCAAATTACAGCTAAACTATATTTCATTTCCTTTCATTCGTCATCGCTACACTCAGTAATGTTTTTTGAGGAGCGGTGAAGAGTGAGCGGCTACATTTCGTATGCGGCTTCGTTATTGCGTCATGTTTGCTAATTTAGTTCTTTGCAAATAAAAGTATTTGCTATTTATATATCAATATTTGGCCTTAGCACGCTTTCAACACATTGCACTGGGAGCTCTCGTTTGCTTTTATTTCGTCTTTCTTTTTATGATTCACAGCTGCAGCACCGGTGCAAATGTCTGCTCCCCTTTCCATTCCCCTTAATATAAATCACATGGTACTTTGCGTCACTAATTTCGGAAACCATTACGCTGTACGTTTTATACGATTCGTTGTATGTGAATTGGAAAAATTATGTTTTATTCACTGCTCACCTTTTTGATAAGAATTTATCTCGATTTCGTACGAAATTTGTGCTTAAAAACACACAAAATGTAACACCTCACACGTTTCACGACCACTGCATTCCACAAAAGATAAGATTCAATTGTCATTCCGGTGACAGCTGTGAATTGCGGACGTGTCAGCACAGGGTTGCAAGAAAGTGAAAAAATTATAATTGATATTATTAATATTAGAAAATGGGAAATAAAGTGCTATAAGTTTTTCCTTTATTTTTTTTTTTGGTAATGCTAAGCTTATAAAAAGCAGTATTTAAAATTATTTCGAACTCAGAGAAACTCTCGAACTCTTGTGCATATAATACAAATATTTTCAATATTTGTGTCACCCTATTTCATAACACCGCTTTCACGTCTTGCCATATCTTACCTTTTAAAATACCCATAGAAAGTTTATTTAAATATTGCGCCCTAATATGTTCATATAGCATACATATCCTCTCATACCCACATACATTTTTTTATTTGTAAATAAACTCGGAAGCATTATTTGCTTACTTACCACACTTAGTCAAGGAAATTTGTGTACAATGTGTTTATTTCGAACATATTTTTTTTATTATAAAGAGAGAAAGAGAGACTTATACTTATATATATAGCTGATAAACTTAGCAAAATATTTTAAGCCTTAAGTATTTTATTTAAGAAAACTTTGGTCTTCTATCGTGCTATTATAATGCTTTTAACTTTAAAATATTAATTAACAGTGAACAAGTTTGAAATTCGTGAACATGCATGTATACAAATATAGCTTACAATGAAATTGTACATACAATTATTATATATTTAAACAATAGTGACTTTTTTTGGTTTTGATTGCTCATTTCAATATGTAAGTGTGTGTTTACATATACATTTTTATTCGTTTACATGTAAAAATTGCTTTTAATTTCTTTTTATAATTATAAAATATAATTATCTTTATTTTTTACAATATTAGTCATTTAGGAACTGCAAATTATTTTATTAAAAAACGTGTTACTTTCATATAGTTCTGACTAATTTTAGATTCCTGCTCAACGATGACCATTTTTTGATGCCTCAGCAGCTATTTTATATTGGATATAACAATTTTTTGTTTCAAAAACTAATTTTGCATTATTTGTCATCTTTCGTAATGGCTTTCACAGGAAATTGTTCAACCATATAGCACATTAGCGAGTATGTTAAGGTACACTGATGATCGGTGGGCACTATTTTGACATATATATTCACGCATATACATATATTGAACAATGTTGGTTGGTTAAAGTAATTATCTGCCCATTATTGTGGGCTCGTCTGCCATTGCTACTTCATCGTTGGGTGCTTTCGCACCCTTCTTCTTGCCCGAATACCACATAAATAGAATACCACACACTAAATTCACTATAAAAGTAAACCACGCTAAGTAGACGCCATAACCATAACTGAAAATAATGAATGTAAAAAGGTTCATTTAATTAAATTATAAAATAAAAAATAAAAATAATAATGAAAGCAAATTTGAGTAAAAATATTATTATAACATTAGAAGAGCAACTAATATTTAATGTATGGCAACACCAAACGCAGAGAACGTATATTTATATATAAATATTTATTAGTTTAGTTGATTGTATAACCCTACAAGTAACAAAAGAATCAGCTGTTTTCCAAGAATTTTTCACAGCTGAGATCATCTGATGGAAATCTGCCTTTTTTAGGCACAGAGATGTAATTAAAAGAAATGTAGTAGATAAATAACTCACGGCGAAAAAATTATTAAAAACCCTATCAAAGGAATAGTGGTGGAAAGAAGGGTCCTATATCTACACGAAAACACGTAAAACACAAAAAATAATTGATAATAAGCGTACAAACCTAATCGCTAAAATTCCCATTTCAAAATCACAGATCAAGGTAACTATGGAAATAAATATTTTTTTATAAWATTGGAAACATTTAATAATATATTGATGCAATAATTAATATTTTGGACAAAACTGATTAAATTTAATATTTAGGAATTTAAATAATCGAAAAATATTTGAATATTTTATAAAAATTTTGTTAAAGTTATAAATTTTAAAACCTAACACGGCAACACACTATATCAGATTCGAAGCATTTGAACGTTTAGTAGTAGAATATTTGGGGGCAACCCGAACCAAGTGCCTAATTTGTAGTAGAATATTTAGGGGCAACCCGAACCAAGTGCCTAATTTGTAGTAGAATATTTAGGGGCAACCCGTACCAAGTGCCTAATTTGTAGTAGATTTTTGCGAGTGTGTTAGTGAAAAATGAAGGATTGGTTACTTGTAGGTTTATACAATGGTTTAGTTGTTGCAACCGGAAAACGTACTTCTACCGTTACAAGTATAAATCATAATTATTTTTCATACAAAATTCGAATACTTACGTAAGTTCAGCACCTTCGGGATATGCGTAGAATAAGTGCTTCTTTGTGTAATCAACAGATGAAAAGAGCACCTGTAAAACAACCACGGCAGTAGAGGCGGAAACCAAGTGAATACCACCAGCTAAACGCTTAAACATATAACGCGGATTCTTGAAAGTGTAAAATGAGAAAACCGAACCCAGACTCATAACGAACACGGTGATGCAGGCAAACGAAGCCTGTGTACGTATATAATCTGCCAAAAGTAAAACAAAAGTGTAAAATATTGTTGTGTAAAAGACTGTTGTGAAAAAGACAGAACTGAGCGCCTACTTACCCATCAGCTCCACATCGATGCCGGGATCTTTGTTCAACGACTTGGGGTTGGTGAACATGTCTATGTACTTGCAACGTTCTGGAAAAATGTGTTGGTAATTTTAATAAAATTATTTTAGTACATTATTCATACGACTCGAGCATACCATTCGGTTGATAGACATAACCGTTCGCTTCGCGGCCACTGCTTGGTGGTAGTGGTGGCACCAGTTGCAATATCACCTGATGGTCATCCAGCACAAATGCGGGCACGCCCAAATCACGCACATATGGCCAGAAGAGCTTTGGCACATATGGTTTCCCATTCCAACCCGCAAATATTGCCAATTGCGCCGCTTCTGGTATAACAAAATAATATGATGTCGCATTGACCCTGACTTTTTGCAGTGCCGTTCCGAAGATTTTTCGTGACTCTATTTCGCGTACATTTAGCGGATCAATTGCGATTGGCTTGGCATTTATGGGTACGGTTTCGGCTTGTGTGGCTGTTGTGTTTAATACGAGATCTTCAAAGATTTTTTTGAATGCTTTAAACTCTTCCTCGTCATTACGCACCCAATGCGCAAACATACGTCGTCTAGCGGACTCCGTAAAATTCTTCATCGGTATCTCCACAATTTCCTCGCTAAATTCACGCACAAACTCAAGCGCTGATGCATTCAATTTGGCATCCATTAACGTTGCAGGGTTCACATAAGCTATGGACGTGAAGTTGCGCACCACATTGGCAGTGGGCAACGCGTTAGGTGTTTTAGTGTGCCGGCAATGCACCCATAAACCGGAGTGTGAGTCCATAAAAAATCGTCGTGTCTCCGGTATGAAAATGCCTATTGAAGAAAAAGATAAAACAAAAAAAAAATTTTTTTTTTAATCCAGATTATTTATGTAACTTGAGTGATACAAATATTGAAATTTTAAAAAGTAATGAAAGTTCAAGTTGTAATGCCATTTGCTTAGCGCCTAACTGAATTTTAAGGCTCTAATTCTTTAAATCTACGCTAGAACTCTTCGGCTAATTCATAAAATATTGTGCGGGYTATAAGCGTTGTTACCAGTTCTTAAAAAAAAAACTATGGAATTATTTTCAATTTTTAATTCCAATTTCGGTAAGTGTTGACTGTTGCAGAGTAAACAAAATGGTAACTATGAGCGAACTCTATCGAGATAGGTATCGGGTTATATAAATATAAATGATCAGGATGACGAAATTTTGAATAAAGATTACCAGCCTTACAAAATAAAAATAATTTAATTTAAATTATAATTCAATGATATGTTTCGGTTTAATTAAAAAAATTGTGAAATATTTAATTATGGAATAGAAAAAAATTAAAAACTTATCAACTTCCCATTTTTCCTTTTTCAGCTTACCGCTATTTAAGCGAAAATAAATGATGTTAAACTGCTTCCTGTTAATTTTTTCTAAATGCTTTAAAATATCGCGCCGTAAAAACAATTTAGTGAGCTTAAAACGATTAAATATACGCGTCATTCGTAAATAAAAATTAAATAATTAGAAAAATCATTCCTAGCCTAATTGGTTATTCTTAGCGGATATATAACTACAAAGAAACTAAGGCGTCTATGTAATGTCTAATAGGTAGTACAAGAGTCGAACAAAAAGACTCGTGCCAAAGGCGGAACGATAATACTTTCTGGCAAATATGTAATAGTGGTCATAAAACGTTGTTGTTGCATATAAACATTCATTCAAAAATGAAAAAAGCGATAAAAGTTTTGTAGTGCGAACAACTAGCTCATAAAATTGTGAATATTGCGCTGTATAGCCTGCTTCTGATCATTGGCGGCATAGCCGAGCCAAAATTGCTTCCTACTTTTAAAGAAAATAACAACAACAAACAAATTTACAAATCAAAAGTATTCGAAATAAAGGCAATAAAATTGTCACTCAAAAGATTTTCGAATTCGTTAACGTCTAAGTTTGTACTGCGTATGTGCTCGGATGTGCATATTTCGCTCGTTATTAAAATGTGCAAATGTCACATGTTTTCTTTGATGAGGTAAAATTTAAATGTTAAAATATTTAACTATTAACTGGTCCCTGATATTGGTCTTACCTTTTCCACCGGTTATGATAACCCAGTGGTCCGTTGAAATGGCTACAATCCACATGATGAGCGAGACCACCATCAACACGCTGCAACCGAACAGCACACGACGCTGGAACATGTACGCCGCCATAAGCGGCTTGCGTTCCTCCTCGCGTCCAAGTGTTGAGCTGGAGACATCTCGTATCATTTTGCTGTTGTTTGTCCTTACTGTTGTGATGCTGTTATTTGCAGCAGCTATGCTTACGCCGTTCAAAAAGCGCTTCAACGCTTTGTATTGTCTTTATTTGCTTTATTGTTAATGCTTCGAGTTTAGCTTTTAACTCAACGGGCGTACAAGCAACTTCGTGACCCAGCGGCCGTATTTATACGAAGCGCAGGCGCCAGTTTTGATTACTGTAAAATGAATGAGGAGTTTTTTTTTAAATATATGGTAGTTACAAACAGTATACCATAAAAATAAATATTTTATTTAAGTTGCCTGGAAACTTTGTGATTAAATACTTTTTTTGTGCTACATTTAGTTTTTCGATTCCCATTTAAATATTATAAAATTATCAATCTTAGAATTTATATTTCAAAATACTTCTGCATAACGCAGAATGCCATGCCATGCTCTGCAGCCAATTGTTTTTTAATCATTTCCATTTTAATGTTCTGTGTTATAATTATCATCCTAAATGTATGCTACATTTTATAAATTTTTTCTAATTATACGATAAAATTTTGCAGATATTCCTATTGTTTACAAGGAGCTGCTCATTCCAGGCCAGGTCGATATCGGACCACTATAGACTATAGCTGCTGTACAAACTGGCGAACAAAATTCTTGTAGGAAAAACTTTTTTTGGAAATTTGGCATATATGTCCCAAGCAACGCTACAATGTCCGAATAAATTCTGTAGATCGAACAACTAATATTTCTATAATTTTTCGTATGAACGCATAAAACTGGTGATTATCGTGGTAACGGTTCGCCAACCATTGGAGAGTAGCGAATCGAACAAACTATACTAGATGCTCAAAGGAATGGGCATCACTTGTGGTGCAACCTTGCCTTAATACCTCTTCGGACGCATGCAATAGTGTTATGATTCTTTCTTAAGTTTATTTTTTAAGGTTAGAATTTAAAAAAAAAAATAATTTTTTTGTTTATTCTATTTTCTTAATGCAAATATATTTAAAAATACACACTGAAAATATCAAATCGTTCCGGTGAATATTTTCAAAGATACACGCAAATGTGAGAAGCGTTTCAGAGCCCTTGGAAATACACGTAAAACACGTTTTCTGAAAATGGTGTTTTCAAAGTCCAACCTTACTCGAAAACAGCTATACCGGTTAGTTTCAAATTTTAAAACCTGCTTCTTAAATATTTTTTTTTGTAATTAATATAAAAAGTTTTTAATCAATAAATATGTTTTTTATAAACAATTTAAGACCGAAATTTTGATCAAAAATCGTTCTTTTAAAACCGCCATTTTGTCAGATATTTTATTCTGCTTATTTCTTCATTGAATTACTACATTTAATTACTTTTACGAAATCTGTTTTCTTTTTAATTTCAAAGGATTCAGTTCTGAGATATAGTGGTCAACGCAAAACGTTTTTTCAGAGGAGTACACATTTTTGGATCAATAAATTCGCTTTTCCGCCTTCTAACTGTATACATATAACCCCTCAATGAAGTATCCGCAGATTCTTTTGTATGAACTAAATTTTGTTGTTGTTTCTGCATATACTTTTTTTGAAAAGTGAGTAGCATAATTTTTTTTAGCAAAACTGGTTTTGATGCAAATATTTGAGATTTTTTAACAAAATTTATCCTTTACCTCTATCTTGTGTAGTCCAACCTATTTGTTATCAGGAAGAATAAAAACTATACGAATTAGAGAATTCTATTAGCTACCTCCGACCCAAATGAAACAAATTGTTGGGCAAAGTTTTGTTATTTAAACAAATTTTGTGTATTTTAAAGAAGTTTTTCAAAGTTTAAATCTCAATTTTTAATTTCAAAAATATCTTAAATAATTCCACGGTTCGTCAAACATGAGCACTGGCACGGCTGTCACCCGTGGCATATTGACGTTGAGTTATGTGCACGCATTATTGCCAAGTATACATGGGTGGGCGTGCCAAGGTGTGCGTGCAGACGCGCAGAATTTAACAACTGTTTGGATTAAGATGCGCAAGTGGTTGTCTATTTAGCTCAATTTGTGCCGTTTAAATTCGCGCAAAGATTTGCTTGCATGTGTGTATGTATGGCTGTTTGTAGAAGTACACACTTAACGCTGCCAAAATAGTTGACTGCCAAAATGTCAAAATTGCGTGCGACTTAATATTTTACTAATTTATAAGAATGTTCGGTTGGTAGGTTGGCGTCAACGTTTCGGTTTTCATTTTTCATTTTTCATTTTTCGATTTTCAATTTTATTTTTACTTTCTTGCGGCCTACTTTTTGTAGTCACTACGTATATTTACTAAACAAACAACAAATAATGGTTGTTGTTGTTATTGCTGCACATGTGTGCTTAGGTTTTTATGTGAATATGCTCACGTCGTAAAATCACATTTAAATAAACAAAAGTTTCACTGCCAGAAGACGAAGAAAAAAGTGCCAAATGTGATTTTCACTTTTCATTTTTTCCCTATTTTGTTCTCTTCATCCACGTGTTTTGTCTTAAAATTCGAAATCGTGTGAGTAACAATGCTTTTCTAAAAAGTTTTCTTAAATCTGATCCTTTTCTCAAATATGGTTGTGAGTCACATGACTTCTAGATTTTTCAAACTTGAAATCATAATTTAAATGTATAAATAAATATATTACACTGAGCATTTTTTATGCCTCATTTGCTGATAAGTTTTAATTTGAAATTTATTTCCTTTGCAGATTTTTTGTAAATATTTTTTATTACTGTTCGAGGACCTGTTTGTAATTTGCGAAATAGGTGTGTATATAAATTTCATTCATTAATTATTTGGGATTTAAAAAATTTTGTTCTTTCAGTGTTTTGAGTAAATACGCCTATTGAGGAATAAAAATATAATAATTCATAAATAATAAAGAAAGGTGAAATAATAAAAAAAACAACGTGTAGTTGGCAAAAAAGCAAATTATTATTAACAACAACAACAACAAAAAAATTAATAATAAAACTGTGATTGATGGAAAAAAGAAAAGAGAGTGTAGTACAAATAAAATAGGTTAATAATTAATAAAACAAGAAAAAACGTTAACTTTAGTCGAACCCAAATATAATACCCTTCACAAATACAAAAAATTCATTAAAATAACTTGATTTTGATCGATCAGATTCTATTGTTCTATATGCTATTATGATCGGATCAGAAAAATTCCTTTGAATGTTGCATCTTGGCCTTAGACATTAACTTATGCCAAATTTTTTGAAGATATGTCATCAAAGGGAAAAGTTTTCCATATAATCCCTGTATTGTGATTGTTTAGTTTGTATGGCAGCTGAGTGATATCGTGGAACGATGTTGGCGGATTCGACAAGTGAGCAGCTTGTAGCTTTTTTTTTAAGGTCTTACAGACTCTTAAACAGATGAACTGACTAAATAGCTCTAGCGTTGCTGGAGCTTTCATTTTATTTTTAATTTATGAATGGTTTTTACTATCCTATCTTCTAAGTGGGTTCGAATTGGACATAGTGTGCTAAATTTTACAAAAGTCGGTTCCATAGTTTAGGAGTTCATCGTGGACAAACAATGTGACACGTAGTTTTTATATATAAAGATTTTATTGGGTCTCTGACATTTCCTTCTTGATGTTACAAACTTCGTGGCAAACTTTCCTTACCTTATTCAGGGTTAAAACTTCTCAAATTGTTCTGATCGGACTAAAGCATAAAACTGTCATTTAAATTCGTCGATCAAAATCATTATAAAAAATATTTTGAGTAATTTAATTTATTGTTAATTTTTTAAAAACCTACCTCAAGATTTCTTTCAATTAAATATGTACTTCTGACTCATCATTGGGTTAACTTTCACACCCCTGCGTGGTTAAGTACTTCTAATGTATAAATTTATATATACACAAATTTGGGTATATATGTACATACTTTCATATGTATATAAAATGTATAGCAGTGTAGCACGCACAGTATTCAGTTAAACAAACAAGCTCATCACGAATGTGCCAAAAAAATCGAAAGCATTTATTTTTGAAAGCTCAAGTAATAATTCTTTAATATTATTCAAGGATAAGCACGTGTAAAACACTAAACATACTACATGTATATGTGTAAACGTGCACATACGACCTGAATTCCCATGTTACCGCTATTCATGTCTGCATTTGCATACTCGACGCTCTCAACTCGCTCTGAGTGCCGAACTTTGCCTTCATAAAGTGCTTGCAATACTCATGTTGCATTTAACGCGAATTTCGGATGTTTGTAAATATTTAAGTATGTGTGTGTGCGTATATAAAAAGTTGTTGCCCTTTTCTTGTTTTTGCTTCTATATAAAATTATTATTGGTTTGGACACGCATATGCAAACATGCGTGAATAAAACATACATACATCGTTAAGCACATATGTGTGCGAATATATGTAAGTGCATATACATGCATACATGTGTATGGATATGCAGCCATATATTATATTAAATATTACTGACTTTGTTTGGTTTTATTTGTCTGGCACTTGGCATTTTACTACTTGACTCAAAAGTTAATTTTTTGCCACTTGCGGTGCGCTTCTTGGCTGTTGCTAATGTTTTCTTATTAAGTGTTGTTGTTTGTGTCTTTGCTGTATTAGTACATTTCTCTGTGCTGTGTTTCAAGTAATTTTTAGCATTATATACATATATAATATGTGCACCATGTATTATATTATTTATTGGTGAGCGTGTGGCTGTGTGTTTTTGTGCTCTTGTCTTTAGTGGGATTTTCCCATTTGTTTTAAGTGATTTTTTTTTAATTTGAAGAGCTGCTGATAATTTTATTTTTGTGCAAATGAAAAGTTATTTTTTTTTTAATTAAAAAAAAAAACATGTATGGCATGTATGTATGTATACGCTTTGTTTAGCAACAAAAAAAAAGTAAACTTAATAGGGAATAATAAAATGTAAACAGAAGCTAAATGCAATAAATAAGTGTAATTAGGTATGACTTGCTCGAAACAAAATATAAAATATTTTTGAATTATGTGAAAATACGAAT